TTCTTGCTTCTCTTTTTTCTATTACAAATCCTCTTCTTTATAATGTAAGTATTTATTATCAATGTAAATAACCGGTTTACTGATCATTTCGTTATTCATTCTTTTACTTCCTGTGGGCTTTCTTTTATCGTTATTTATTGTCTCATTTGTTGTCTGAAATTATCAGTTTTTTATCAGTGTACGAATAATTCGTGAATAAAATGTAATGAATTAATAGTATTAACAAGTGATCTTTTATATTCACATAGAAAAGTGTTTGGATGTGTAGCACACTTTGTATGCGCTCATGGCTTTTTCATATGAACATCCCATTTACACGAATATGTCAAAAAGTGGTCTAGATAGGGTTGCAGCTGTCACGCAAAGTGTCGGAATAAAAAGAATCACAGATAGTAAATTCACTAATGCAGACTAAAGGAAGAAATAAAAACATCGATATCAAGTAACGTCAAGAGAAAAAAAAAATAGGCATCAAGAATATCTTCTCACAAAACAAAAAAAGTCGCACAGAGTTCTATTCAGTATCAAACACTTGTCCTTGGCGGGGTCACAGTGTTTAAATGAAGAGCAGGGTCAAAAATTTCCTTTAATAGAATCTCCGCTATGGATTTTTTATATGATTTTTGTTCTTTTTTCTTTCTTTCTCTCTTTTTAATTTCTTCTTTCCTGTTTTTTTTCTCTTTTTTTTATTTTTGACAACTTTTTAACTAGTACTAAACAATGTCTACCGTACGTGTTCTTTTTATTTGTTTGCTATATATAATAACACTTTGCTCATCTTGACGTCTTGCCTTTATTTTATATAGGAGCGTGAAAATAATGTTTATATGGCTAAGCTCGCTGAACAAGCCGAGCGATATGACGGTAATATATAGAGAAAAAAAAGGAAAAAATGGCGTATTTATATAGTATAATAGAAATGGTCACCTTCACAAAGGATGTCGCAAAGGTAAGCAAAAAGGGACAAGAGAGAGAATGTGTGTGTGTGGCGATGGGGGCAACAACGTGATATTTTGATTATCCGATTCTTTTATTTACACATTATTTTCATATTCAGATGGGTGTTGATTTGACTATTGAAGAACGAAACCTTTTGTCTGTTGCCTATAAAAACGTGATTGGTGCTCGTCGTGCTTCTTGGAGAATCGTTTCTTCTATTGAACAAAAGGAGGAAAGCAAGGGTAATCATGCTCAAGTTGAAAAGATCAAGGCTTATCGTCAAAAGATTGAGTCTGAACTTCAAGATGTTTGTAATGACATCTTGTCCGTCTTGAACGACAACTTAATCCCTCATGCTCAAGGTGGTGAATCCAAAGTGTTTTATTACAAGATGTAAGTGTATACATGATATATTGTACTTTATTAACCTTCTCTTAGGATGGGTGATTATCACCGTTACCTTGCTGAATTCCTCACCAATGATGCTCGTAAAGAATCTGCCACCAAGGCTCATGAAGCTTACAAGACGGCTACAGAGATTGCTCAAACTGAATTAGCTCCCACCAACTCCATTCGTTTGGGCCTTGCCTTGAACTTTTCCGTCTTTTACTACGAAATTCTCAACTCCCCTGATCGTGCCTGTCACCTCGCTAAGCAAGCCTTTGATGATGCTATTGCTGAATTAGACACTCTTTCTGAAGAGTCTTACAAGGATTCAACCCTTATTATGCAACTGCTAAGAGATAACCTCACCTTGTGGACTTCTGATTTACAAGAAGGTAAATAATATATTATTAAATATGCAAACAAAATTGACTCATTCAATACAGACGCCGACAAGACAGATGAAAATAAGGCTGAACCTGTTGATGAATCCAAATAAACTTTTTATTAGTTCATCTCTCTCTTTCCTCCTCCTCCCCCTCTTCTTCCCCTTTTACACCTCCTTTTTTCTTTCTTTATTATAAACGCCCGAAACTACACCCTTTTTTATAATTTTAAATAAAAATTATATACAACAAAAAAAAAAAAAACATCTTTATTAAGTGTAATAAGGGTGAAGGATATTGTTTTGGTGACACTTGGTGATGGACGAATAAAGCATGTCAGTTTGTTGCAAATCAATTAGCGGTAAATCAAAAGGACGTGGAAGACTTATTCGCTTTCTATGGTTGCTATGGCTACTGTCATTATTGTCATCACTACTGCTGCTGCTGCTTATACTACGTTTTCTTAAACAGACTAAAAAGAAAATGAGTTTGATTGATTGAAGAAAAGAGAAACTATTTACGTTCATCATTTTGCATTCGGGTCTTTGCTTGAATGACACTTGCAGACAGTAATAAGCTATGATTAGAATAGCCTTGAAGATGAGGCATCAAATCAGGCGATATTCGTATATTAGTAAATAAAGGACTAGTCGAAGGTGTACGCAATACGTGATTAAGAACATCATCCTTATTGTAATAACTGACGATATGCAGGAAATTGCCATTGACGAGCATACGAATCGTTTTTTTGATCAATCCATTTTCTTTAAAGTTATATGGCGTGTTTGACGCTGTCAGTGATCCAACCAACGCTCGTTCACGTTGATCGATTGCTAATCCATTCGACGGTGCCAGACTTTTTCTTTGCTCTCTATTCACTAACTCTCTATATACCAAAAAATTGCCTAATATTCTGGATGGACTCCAAAGTAAACCATCTGTCCACCGTTTGATGCCTACAAAAAGAAAGTTAGATTGATAACCATTTATTTTAAAGTTTTACCTGTCTCTGTTTCATTGAATACGATGATGGTGCCTGATTTAATCACATTACGCTCACTGTCAAATAATCTTCTTCTTACTGTAGGCAAAAGCCCACTTCGACACGCTTCGATTATAAGTAGGGTATCTGTTGTGTTTTCTATGAATCCATGAAATGTTGCTGTAAATGGCATATTATATAAAGAAGAAATAAAAAAAGAAAAGAAAGAGACAGGTAAAGAGAATAAGGTAGAGAGAAGTCTAGTTACGGACTTTCCTAAAATGTATATAGGCTTTTCTGTTCATGCTCTGTCAATTATTTGTTTACACTCTGTCCTCCTAACATTTGACTTCCCCCCTCCCCTTATTTTCTTGTTCTTTTTTACACGGTTGAAAAAGTAAAATGGGTAAAAGTTGATGTTCCCATTTTTCTAGAATGAATAATTTAGGTTTTAAAAATAAGTATTTCTCTCCTTCAAGGGTAATCCCTTCACCACATCATGGTATCCTATATCACCGAAAGAGTGTGCTCAACCCCCTTTTTATGTCCCGATCAAATACTTGGAACAGCTGTCCAAAAACGTTGCTGCCCTTTCTACCCCGTCACCCTGAAGAATGAGCGTGGGTTCAAGTGATTAAGGGACAGATGGATCTCTTCAAATAAATACCTATTTTCCATTTCTCACTTTGATATTTTTTTTGATAAATTAAACATATTCATATATCAGTATCTGCTTATTTCAACTGTAAAACTGCTTCACAGACTGGCCGATTAAACTCAATGAAGTACTTTGAATCGAAATTTCAACCAACAGTCCTCAATTCCATTTCCCTTTACTGGTGTACGGTATAACACTACCAAAGTCTATTCGAGAGTTTGAGATAGCTTTCTGTTCCTTAATTTAGCTTCCGTCTTTCTGTTTATTTGGCATATTAAGGGACATTGGTTATATATTAATTGAACTAAGTACACACCTCCGTCTACCACTGCTTCTCACTTCACAGTATGCAAACTCATTTTAGATCAAGATTTAAGCCAAGTAACGTTCCAGAAAAAAAAATAGCAATGCAAATAAAAAGAAAATCATATGTGCTGCAGTCCTGCAGACAATGTAGAACGCATCATCATTCTGATAAAGAATGATTGGATCGATCCCACTTTATAAACATTTGAGAAGGATCATCTGCACATCATGGCTAGGAAACAAGGCTTTGTACAACCATTGGTATCTACCAACAAATGTAAGAACGGGAAAGAAAAAGAAAAAAAATGAAAACTTGAGTATGTTTCCTGCCTGATTTCCCTGATTCTAGTCCCTTCTGACAGTGTCGTACACCATGTCTCCGAAAAATGTTGCACAAATATGAGGAACCAGGCGGACAGAGAATGTATGTTGAACCGAACATATTTATTATGTATACAAGGGGGAGGAGGAGTGCATTAAAGTAGTAAAGGATAATAATAATAATAATGATCATCTAAAGCTTAGTTGTGGAACTTGATTTATAATCTTCTACAGCTAAAAACCAATTAGAGAGACATATATAAAGAAAATTAATAAAGCTTACGAGTTTCTTTAAGCGAAGTAGTGTCGTTTGAATCCTTGGCGTCTTCCAATCCAAATGATTTCATAGGCACTGTGAAGCAGAAAGTAAGAACAGCAATACAGATGGCGATAATAGAAAGAATCATCTGGATATGACCATAGGCTTGTACGACACCGTCGTATTGCTCCTTAGGGAGGGAGATGGCATAATCAGTGCTTCCGACGATCTTTGCATAATCATATTCACCAGGAACATATTTGGCAAGCTGTCCAGGGAGCATAGAGTTCCAGATCGCGCCTGACATGGTAGAACCAACACTCGCTGCGATTGAACCACCGACTTGCATCATAGCCGTCACGACAGCAAGGTCGCTATGAGGCACAGAGCTCTGGATAGCAACAAGAATAGGCGTGTAGAGGCAACCAGAGCCAATACCGACGATTGTTTGAGAGATGACGACAAAGGCGTCAGAGGAGCTAGGCAAACGGGCAGGAATCATCAGACCGACGCCGAGGATAGTCAAGCTGACGCCTGCCCAGACAAAGGGTCTCCACTTGCGTGTTCGCTTCATCAAATAACCAACTGTTACCTCGCATACGATGTAGGCCACATTATAGCCGCGCTCGAGGTAGATGGCGGTATCTATGCTCACCTTACGAGAGACAAGTAGGTAAGTGGTAAAGTATTGCCAGTTTGTGGATGAAATCAAGGTGACTGTAGACAAGGCCAACACACCGAGCAGAGGTGTATGTGTGTTCCAACGAGCCAAGGGGATGATGGGCTTTCGAGCAAACTTCCATTCCCAGATTGCAAAGAGAATCCAGGCGACGACACCAGCGACCAGAGTGCCAATCGTAATCCCGCTAGACCATCCACCCCACTTGGGAAGAGCAAGAACCAAAGGGAGCAAAATCAGACAGAGACCGGCGATCAAGAGTAAGCTACCGACAATATCTATTTCAGTCATGAGCCAGATGAATTTTTGGAAAATGTTCATCTTTGGTTCTTCAGTTTCGGCTTGTTTAGCCTTGTATTCTTCAATTAGGCCCGACCGTTTGAGCTTAAAGTGGACGTACCAAAGACCACCGATAAGAGGAACAGCTGTGCCGCCAAGGATGATGCAGCATAGACCATAACCCCAACGCCATCGGCCCTGGTCCAGTAAGAGGGCGGCTGCACGAGGAGCGACAAAGATATTGAATAAACTAGGCAGATTGTAAAGGCCTTGGAATAAGCCACGGTTGGTAACAGTAGTTAAATCTAATATATACACAAAGGTTATGATGCCGGCCTTTTTCAACTAGGAACATCTTTTGCTTACCGCCGACGACGATAGGACCAAGAATAGAAACACCAGAATAACCAAAAGCATAAATGATTTGGCCTCCCTATGAAAGTTATTGTGTCATTATACAGTTCTCACTTTTCTTTATCAAATCGCATACCACCAAAGTGTCATAGTTATTTGCTGTAGCCATAACAATAAAAGCAAGAATATAAAAAAAGAGACCTACAGAATAGCAGTGAGCTCTGCCAAACATGTCTGATAGCTTTGAATAGATGGGAAGGAGAGCGGTTTGAAGAATATAGGTAATGGTAGACAACAAACTGATAAGGTTGTTGGACTGAAAGAAACTCGTCACTTTGTTATTTAATGTCATTGTGAGATTGCCCTCAAAATTAGAAGCCCATGAGAATAAAAATAAACTAAAGCAAAAGGTGTTAATGTATCCCCTTAAGTGTCTTTATTGTTCTTTTTTACCCAAGGAAGATTATGTATTTTTCTTTATCAGTCCAGATTTGTTTGTATAATTCAACGGCAGTTACGCCTTTGAACCTGTTATCACCAGATCCTTCAGCTGAAGTAGTCATGGTGATATAAATTGAGAGGGAAAAAAAAAGGTCAAGGGAGGGAGAAGAAAAAAATTGTTTTTATTATGCTTTATAAATAAAAAAAGTTTCCGTGGATTATCTGATGATCTGATATTTTTTATCGGAGATCTTTTACTCGATCCAACTTTTTAGTCCTACAACCAAAAGAAGATTAAAAAAGAAGTAGGCTTGAAGTTTATCTTTTATTATCTTTTCTTTAATAAATGTAAAAAAAAAGGACATGATTAGGATATAGATTAAACCATCAATTACATCTGATAATTGCTGATTTTTGACATTCATGTGCACAATTAAAAACAAAACAGAAAATCTAGAAAGGTGTTACAATTCCCGCTTTTTAATTACTGTGCGCGGTAAATTTTGTCCGTTTTGAAAAAATAAAAGTCAATATGTGCTATGTTTTATTGTTTACTTTTGAAAAATCATGTAAATGACTTTAAGGTGTTTCAGGGACTGGTATAGTTTCAAGGTTGGCATTGTTGGAAGGTATCTTTTCTTGAACGGAACAAATTACAGCATTACGCCAAGCAAACATGCCAGGAAACTACTGGATAGCAACCTTTAAACCATATGGAGAGTAGGGAACATCCATGACTGCCTTGCGAGTTCTGACATAGACACGGTTTGTGACCAGAGTGAGGCATTCAAAGTAGACTTTATAGCCATGACTGAAAACGACAAACATACAGGGTCGATGTTTGGGCGTGCTGCCTTTATTGCTCAGAAATCTTACTGCATTTCTGTATATCTTGTCGATATCACTGCATAATTTTTTTATCATAATTCGTAAATCCTCCAGAAAACTCAATCAACATGACGGTAGCCTTGCTTACAGTACCGTCCCATTTATGTCGTTTGGTAGTGTTATCTTCAGTTTCAATCCTAAAAGCACTTTCAATTAATAAACTTCCAGTTATATGATTGAGTTAAAAATCACCACCGCATGTTCGCCATGCCATTAAATGGACGGATCAAGCTTTTAAGTATTAGAACAACGCCTTCTATGGCACTTATTCTCTCTCCATGTTCCTTTATCAGGGGTTTACTGGAGAGCACAAGAGATCAATCCTATTTTAGGGAAGATTTATAAAGTTGCCACCTTGGTTTGTTTCTTTTCAAGAAGATGAAGAGATAAAAGAAATTTGTTTATTCTAATTTTATGTTGTCAGTCTGATCAACAAACATGCAAGAACACGTGTAACTACTATAAACGCATATTTTACATCAAAAGATATCCCATTGGACAGCCTTGCATGTATAGAAGAAGAGGCGCCCGTAGCATGTAGTGTTGGTCTACTTTCAAAATGAGCATCGGGATACATATTGATTCTAGGTTTTAAAGCATCTGTTGAGCTTTTTAATAACTTGGTTGTATCACCAAGAGTATGTGGTACATTTTCAACCTTGTTGTGCCCACTTGATTCTGTGATAATGATATCCACTAGCAAGTTTGGCGCCAATAGTTGATGCTTCATAATTATAAAAAGGGAACCAGATTGGCCTGCTCGATTCCGATTGCTTTTCCATCCAGATGAATAACGCAGGTCCAAGTACATTACCAAAGGTTTTGAAGATGGGGACGGAAACTTCAACAAAAATTGTTCGTCCATCTCCATGATTGTACTGTGTTTTTCTAAGGCAATTATTTCTGAAGTCGGTTAAAATATAGGCTACAAGATAGATTGATTGCTTTGATAGTGAAATTGAGAGCATTGGGAACTTCTTTGAGTGACCCATTAATTCTTTTCATCGCCCGCTCTTGTTCGTATATTTGTGTGGTTTCTTTGCAACAGAGCGATATTGCTGAAAAGTCTATATCAAAGATTTTTCCGAGTTTTTCCAAATCGTTTTGTTGTATTTTAGGTGTGGCAAGTGAAATAATATTTTTTGATAGACTGAAATTCAAAATGTTTGCTTTCCTTGAAAAACGAGTACATCCCACTACTTGCACTTTCGACATCAATATCACTGTTTTTAGTGGTTTCCTGCAGTTTCTAGAATAATAATAATCAATAAACCTGATTTACATATTATAACTTATAAACTACCTCCAGTGAGCCATTCCTCAATTTATTTGTGTTCAATTTCTGCACATTGACGTTTGTTTTATAGGCGCAGAAGTCGTTCATTCTTCGCGTATGAAGTTTTAAAGAATTCTTGAACTACGCTATTCTTCAAATAGGTTTCAATTCTTCTGGCATAATTTTTTACACTTGCGCAAAGATTAGTTCGCGAAAGCTTTCTGTAAATCAGAAAGGGAAGCACTGCATACAGCAGAAAATACGTCAGAAGTTAGACTAATCCTAAGTGCGCTACCTCCAGATACTACCTATGATGTCTTCCAACAAATTTTTTGAATGTGTGGCGCCATGCTAAACATGCCTTTTATAAGGTATCCATATTGGTTTATTTCTTTTTAAGAAGAAGAAGAGATAAAAAGAAATGTTGTTATTGCTTTATTTTAGTTTTATGTTATCAGCCTGGTCAACAAAGACCATTTAGCTCACATGTAATTATGATAAATTCGTACTTTATATCAGAGAGAGTGAACTGGACAGCCTTAGGTTAGGCAAGGCTTTGGTAGTGTGTTGTTGATGACTAATTGTGACAACATTATTAAAGTGCTTTAAAGTGGGACAGGATGTCTGCAGTAAATACAAAAGATGGCCATTTTATTATGTAGTCTTTTTGTTATGATTAACATAGCCAATACCCATACACGTCATAAGGATAGTGTCATTGGATGTATCGGGCTGAATCTTGAAAGAGACACCAAAGAATGATTTGATATCACGTAAATATTGTATCCTTTTTTACATAAAGGTTAAATATTATAAAAGATAAAATCTATATAACTTACGTAAAGGCAGAGAGATCTCCAATTCTAATTTTGCTAACATCTTCAGGTGCTAAAATCATTAATAATATATTTAACCATTGGCTCGTTGTATCCACACATCCTCCTTTTCGAATCTCGTTCAATAGCAGTTTAGCAGCCATGAGACCAACATCCTCAGGTGTTTGTCCAGGTTCTGCTGCCTTTTCTGCGGATAACAATACATCTGTGTTTGACTCAGCAACGAGTGATAATGCATAGCCCGGAGACCTATTGTTTTAATTTTTAGTCTTCACCTTTACATACATACACACACACACTTTACTTTCCACTTTCTGCTCCTTTATATACATCTGTGTAAATATAAATATCTGGAATATATCTATTCAACAAAGATCGTGCTGATTCTACTAGTCGATTGGCTGTTTGAGGCGATACTCGAGTACAGTATGCAATACCACGTACTCGCTTGATACGTCCCTCCTCTGTAAATTGAACTGGTTTAAGCTGACGAATGGGCACACATGAAAAAACAACTTCTCCGCCTCCTAATGGTGGTGCACCTCTTTTTGTGATCTATGTCGAGTTCAGTTATATGCTCTTTTTTTTTTCACTGTTAATCATTCTACCTTTAATTCCAAATTCTGATCCACACCAAATCGTTTTAATTGTGGTAGCAATACTGTACGAATAATATCAACCTAGTATTATAAGTATTCCAACAATCTCTCTTCTGTAGTTCTTATCTTACCGATGGATCGACATGGTCCGTTGTTATTCCTTCTAACGTCAGCACAAAAGGCTTCTTTGAAAAAGGTGCAAGTGCGACCATAGGCTCCAAATAATAACTAATGCTCCTCTCTGTTCCACAATCGTGCTGAATTCGTCCACCTTCTATAGCTCCTGGTCTATACAAGACAGAAGTACCTATCAAAAAAGAACTGTATGAGCTGTGATCTATTTAACGTATTTTATCTCTGCTTTTTTTACCTGTATAACTGATTTCTATAACTGATCCATTGGTTACTTTTTCCAACAAGTTGAGAAATTTAATCTCGAAATCTATTATAATCGTTGTTTATATTGATAGTTTTTTTAAAATATAAATGTGGATAATATACCTCGTAAACCTGGATTTTCATCATCAGATCTGATTTTTTCAATACGAACAGGCTTTCCGCTTAAAGTGGCGAGAATTAGTCTTTGTCTAAGATAGTTATAGCCTTGAAACTTTAAAATGCTGCTCATGATCTACAAGTAAAAAGGGGAGATTCTAAATTGTTGAACAAAAAGACAACTCAATGACTGTTTCTCAGTGGCTTAGAGTTTATGCAACAAAGAATAATTTCTAAATTTGGAAACGTAAGTTCCTACGTCACCCAACTTGGTTCGTTTGCTCAAAATTTTCTGACTTTACCTTTTACTTCTCCATCTCTCATTATATAAAATGACCATTGGTGTTCCCATCAAACTCCTGCATGAAGCACAAGGCCACATTATCTCTTTGGAGTTGAAAACAGGTCAACTTTACCGTGGAAAGTTATTAGAAGGTATAATGAACTATTGATTAGAATCCATTCAACTGAATCGTCGTCATCTTTTAGCTGAAGATAATATGAACATCCAGTTAAAAGATATTACTGTTACTGCACGTGATGGAAGAGTATCGCAACTAGACCAAGTATACATTCGAGGATCTCACGTTCGATTTTTCATTGTGCCCGACATGTTAAAGAACGCGCCCATGTTTAAGGGAGCTGGTCCTGGAGGTTTGAAGGGAAGAGGTATCGGTTTGGGCAGAGGAAGAGCTACAGTTGCCCGTGCTCAACAAGGTAATATAAACAAATTGAAATAATCTTTTTCTAAACATTCTTTATATAGCAAGAGGAAGAGGTATGCGTGGTGCATTCAGAGGACGTCCTGCTCCACCTAGATATTAGTGACAACTTAACATCTTTTTCATGTAAAGAAATAAAACTTGCATTTGTGTATACAGATTTGTAATTTCATGGACTGATGAGGATATTTTAAAGCATCAACTACTTCTTTATCAACACTATGCATTGAGTTGATTCAGTAATAAAAAGGATAGAGTCGACATAAAAATATATGCCACGAGGATAAAAAGGGCTCATTAGGAGCCTTGGGAGATGAGCATGTATCCTTGACTCTACTTATAAAGTTGTTTCATGGCATCCAATAGATCATGGGAATATAAACCTTATCTTTTATGCAGGAAAAAAAAAAAAGGAGGACTGAAGTAGACCCATCCAGTCATAACCATGTTCCTGGAGCACAAGACTGATTTGACAAGCAAAGTTTTGGTCCGAGTGTGTGTGTATGTTTGTGTGTCAGCTTTGGAATGCTTACAAAAGTGCCCATGCTTTTAATGAATTTGTCCTTGGAATAATATCTAACCAATGGATCTCCCATAGAAAGAAAAGGTAGGGGAAAAGGTGTCAGAAGACAAGTTTTTGTAGCCGCAGCATTTATCTAAGATCAATGTTATATTGACCCTGAATGTGTTTATATTCCATTTAAACTGCTTTAAACTAGCGTGAAAAGTAATAAACTGTGACAAGTTATGTTGTTTGCTTGTTATTCAGCATATCGACGGAAATGTGCATGTGTGACGAAAGCGAACTTGTTATGAATTTTATTGGAAGGAATTTCAACATTCTTTTATTACTCTTTCTTTTTCCCCCTTTTTTTTTATGAGCAAAAATATATTTGAAATGCTGAAATATGTCCAAGATACTTCATTTGATACTGAATTTGGAGTCAAGAGTTTCAATGACAGCCTTCTTTTAGACTCAAAATCTACTTTGACCAAACGAAATTCAATTATGACAACTCCTCTTTTGAAAGACGGCACAAGTCATTTTAGAATTATTATCTGTGGAGATTCTGGTAAAGTATATATACTCTGTATATATTGCAAAAAGTAAACTCTTTATATTCTTATTATTAGGCATTGGAAAATCAGCTTTGGTTCATGCTTTATCGACTGCGGACAATAGTGATAATACGACAAGAGCAAACCCACCGAGTTCTTTTGAGCCCATTGAATACTTTTTACCATCCACAGATATCTGTGTTGTGGATACGTGTGGTTATGGCGCTTCTATACGGCCCGATGCCATTTTTTCGAATACAAAAAATTACCTTGAAAAGCAATTTGAGAAAACAAATAGCTTACTTAACCCACACTGCCGAGATGACCAGCGGTTGGTTTACTTGTTAGAACAAGCTCCTACAGTTTCAACACATGTGGATGTATGCTTATATCTCATCATGGGTCGACTGAAGCCTGTTGATCTAGAGTATATGCGGTACATTCATGACCTGGTAAATATCATACCAGTCATCATTCAACCAGACTTGTCTGTCAAAATGAATCAAATGTCAGAACAACGCCTCGATATGATTCAGACCCTCTATCAAAATCAAATCAAGTTCTGTACATTTGGCTTTACCCAAGATGAGATCTTGTCTCAGTGTAAAGAGGCTAGTCTCTATTGTATACCCTTTGTCTTGAATTGGTCTTCAACTAAGCCTTTGTTTCATGGATTGGCTCAGATAAAGCAAGCCTTATTTAATGTTCATTTATACCATTTGAGAAAACAAACAAACTATAGATTCATTCAATGGAGACATCAGCAAGCAGTTGTCGTAAATGATACGAGTGTTTGCAGCAGTATAAGCACTAGTAGTAGTAGTAATCTTAGCACGAGCAGCAGTGTCTATAGTAGCCTATCCACTGCAGAACAACAAAAGATATCAGAATATATTAGTAAGAGACGTCAACAGCTAGATAAAGAGTTGCTGCTACAAGAAAAAAGGTTGAAACAAGAATTTCAGAAATTAAACCAACATAAGAAGAAAGAATATCTCTTAAAGGAACTCGGCTTGCTTCAAGATCAAGAAAAGCAAGACTTTGAAGGATTGGATAAGCAGAAAAAAAAGGAATATCTGCTAAAAGAACTTGGTTTTCTACAAAAGCAAGAAAAACAAATCAATCGTAATCTGTTCATCTTGATTGCTGCTTTATTATCTTGTTTGTGTCTTTTGGTTGTTTATAAATTCTTAAATAAAAAATATTGTTTACCGTCGTAAATGTATTGCTCTAATGATGTTGTTCTTGTTCAACAAATTCAAGCGCATGCTCCTTTGCAATAGCATGTATACGTGATACCTTGCCTTGGAAGGCAACACCGTAAAACTTGTCTGCATTGGCTACCAGTTCGGGTCTGAAAGTAGTAGTGATGAATTGTGCATTTTCACTAAGCTTATGTATCATCTCTATCATATACAAATGTCACTATTTGAATAAAAAAAAAATTGTATATTTGACATCTACCTGCCACAGCTGCTCTATATTGTGCATCCAAGTTGGCATCAATTTCGTCAAACAGATAAAAGGGCGCAGGGTCACATCGTTGGATAGCAAAGATCAAGGCTAATGCCACAAGAGATTTTTGACCCCCAGATAGCTGCTGCATAATTAAGCCTTCATCCGATTTGCTGTTGAACGATACCTGTCAAAAAAGTTAATAAACGCGCATATGTGTCCAACAGTGTATGTTTACTTTAATAGAAACACCACTGAATCTATCAACAGAGCTGCTATTGCCATCCATGTCAACGTCTTGTTGTAGCTATGCTCGTTCTATTAGCGCTTTACATCTTTCAAAGACTTTATCCCCTTACATCTGATTTAATTATAAGCTCACCGCGACCAGAAGGAACCAAAGTTTCAAAAATTTGTGCAAAATTAGCTGCAACATCATTAAATGTTCGCTCAATGGCTTGATTCTTGCGACGATCTAATGATTCAATCAACTGACTGATGGATACGCCTGATTTATCCAGTTCCTTTTTACGAGCAGTCAACTGATCTCTCTGCTTTGTGAATCTTCCATACTGTTCAAACGCCTTCTTATTCACATGACTGTATTTTTTTAGTTTCTCGTTAATCTTGTGCAGTTGCTTAAGCAGCTTTTCAATACGTAAATTATTGTATTTCTGGAATGCTTCATCTGGCAATACACCAAGATCACGAATGTTGGTATTACATTCTTCTTTCTTTTGTATGAGTAATGATCTCTTCAAGAAGTTGCGTTCCAAATCCTTTTCAATATCACTCATGTAACGTGTGTATTTTTTAATCTCGTCTCTTGCACTTTCAATCTTTTCCGTTATCTTTACGTCTTCCTCCAGTAGCTGGTCAACTTCAGTATCCAAATCCTCAATACGCTTTGTTAATCTGCCAAGTTTCTTTGTTACCATCTTGAGCTCATTTCGTCTTCTGTTGAGCTCATCCAAGCTTCCCTTTACAATCACTCTTTCTTTTTTACTCAACAAATCCTTTTTACGTAAAGAGTCCGCATTTAATCCTTCCTTTAAGACATTAATGCGGCTTTCAAGATCTGCTCTTTGATTTGCTGTCTCTGTTAATCTTCTACGAAGTTCTTCCATCTGAACAGCGTTCCTATCCAGGATCTCTCTTTCCTCGGAGGATAGCAATTTGCTCAAATCAGTGGCAAGTTCATTCTGGTAGCTGATCAATTGTTTCTCCAAAAGCTGACCATGGACTTGTATGCTTTCGATATTTCTTGTTTTCGTAGCCAGTTTGATCTTGAGTAACTCTTCCTCTTTTCTTAAGCGACTCTCATAATTTTGCGATAAATCAGAGAATTCGGTCTTCTTTTTTCTTAGTTCCAAGGCGTGTAAGTCGCTCACGATGCGAGTGACTTTTTGATCAGCTTGAACAATTTGTTGCTTGACTTGCTCAAGTCGTTCCTTAGCCTCATTATACTGTGTCTGTACTTCTCTTAGACGCTTTGCAGCATCTAAACGAGAACGTCTGCTGTCGACATAACCACCTGTTAAAGCACCACGGCTGTCAACACGGCTACCGTCGAGAGTGACTGCGACAAGGCGGTGTGATTTTGCATAACTGGCGGCAACTTCCAGGTTGGGGCATACGATGGTGTTGGCAAATATTTGTTCAAATGCATGTTGGTATCGCGCATCGTATTTAAGCTTGTTAAGGATAGGAATAGCATCTGTACTATTGGGATATTCTGCTGTTCTAGATTTTACACGGTTCAAAGGAATAAAAGTGACTCTTCCAGATTTTTCCTTGTTCATTACTTCCAATAACTTCGTTGCCGTTTCATCTGTATCAACGATAACATTGAACAGACTGTAGTCATCATAGTTTAAGAAAAGGGTAGCAGATTCAAATATCGAGACTTACCTTGCTCCAGCAGTGGCATCGATAGCAGTAGTAAATCGTGGGTCACAGTCGAATAATTCAAATACGGGGCCATACACTCCTTGAATGTTGTGTTGTTGAACAATACGGCTAATAGCAGACAAGCCGATACTTGTATTCTATATAGATGTTTAGAACATTTTTCTCTCCTATAATTCCAACATTTCATCATAAAGCTTACTCTATCGATGGTGCTTGATAAAGTCCTTTCAGCCTTACGGATCTCGTCACTATAATTGCGAATCAAAGTGTCTAGTTTAGCCTCTTCACGCCAAAGATTCTTTCTTTCTTCTGTAGCCTCATCTCGCTCTGTCTTTAAGCTGAATTCTTCGTTTTCTAACTCCTGACGAAGTTTAAATCGTGCCATATTTTTTTCCTTGAGCTCGTCAATAGCTTGGGTCTTGAACAGCAGTTCCTCTTCTCCTGCCTTTTTTTCCTCAATTAATATGTTGAGCTGGTTCTGTCGAATCGTCAAGTTCTCGGTAATGTCACGTATTTGCGCATTAAGCCAGCTGTCTCTTTCTTCTTTGCTTGCAAATTTTGTTAATCTAGCCTGTTTTAAACGCAGATGATCCTGTTCTGCTTCGAGTGTTCTCAATCTATCAAAATAAATGAGTAAAAAACTAAAGCTCAGGCTATTTTTCTTTACTCTTGTTGAATTTGCTTAGCCGTTTCATTCAATTCAGTGTACTGAGGAGTTATAGTATCAATTTCACTCTGCTTTTGTGACATTGAATCTTCTAACTGGCCAAGTCTGTTGGCAATATCGGCCTATATGGATAATGAGTATGACAATAGCAATTTCTCAAAATGCATATTTACCTTATACTCCTCGTCTGATATTTGGGAATCTTGTAAGTCGTTGATCAAAAGCTCGAGGCGTGCTCTTACTTTCATCAGCTCGTTACGCTCTTCTAGCAAATCCTTCTTTTCTTGATCGTGAAGCTGAATTGTTTGCCTTGCGTCACGTAGTTGATCCTCGAGTTCTTTTAACTTTTGCTCGCCCCTGTAATGGTGCTCTTCAATTTCTTCATTCTTGCGAATCGCTCTTCTTCTCTCTTCTTCCAGTTCTTCCAATCGATGACTGGCGCTTGTTTGCTCACGAGCATAAATGGTGTACTCAATAGAGCGTCGACTATTGTCTAGTTCTTGATACTCTGAAAGCTCTGCCTTTTCTGCTTCAAGTTCACTTAATCTTTCCTCAATGTACTTTAGTACTTCTTCGATCTTTGCACGTTTAGCATCTAGAATAAATAATAAATTGATACTGTAGTCAAGAGTCGTCATTTACTACTTACTTGTTTCCTGCATCAATTTATTACTTTCTTCGCGTTTTTGTTCATAAACACGTGTACCAGCGACTTCCTTCAAAAGCTTTAATCGGTCTTCGTCTTTGGCAGTTGTTAATGAAGTAACCTAAGCAAATGAGTAAATAAATAATACAAAAAGTAGTAGCTTTAGTGCTTACTCTTCCTTGTGGCACGATGTAATAAGGATTAGAACGAGAGAAACCAGCACTTTCCAAAAGGTTCAAGACGTCTGTTTTACTACATGTTATTTATGAATTAATATGTACTGAGGCCGTTACTTTTAGTTACTTACGTAACGCTTTTTCTATCGAGTGAATATTCATCCAGTGTCAAGCCAATACTTCTACGCAAAATAACTTCTTCTTTTCCAGTCTAAGTAAGCGAAATAAGCTCAAATGATCGTTTGATAATAAAAAGGTTCTTTTACAGGAAATCGATTGTCAGAGTTATCAAAAATGATTTCAACAAAGGCAGAAATAGTAGCAGTGCCTACTCCTTCCTATATTCAAGATGTTATAAAAATAGGCCTAGTTTTTATCCTTTTTATACTCTTACATGAAGTAATGCTTGTCTTTCTTCTTTACTCAGATTTTGGTAGGCATCGCCTAGAACGAAACGGATAGCTAATGAAAGTATAAGATTATTGCTGTCATTATCTTTTTATATTTGGCCTTTTTTACCTGAAAAGAAGTTACTTTTGCCTGAACCGTTTCTTCCAACTGCAGGTTTAGATTAATATGTATGCTTTACTAATGTAAATATAAATTATTACCAATAACATTATGTTTTGGACTGAATGGCTCAATCGTATTTTGGTCTTTATAAGACTTGAATCCTTGAATGACAATCTAAATATTCCTGGTTGGACTCGTTTATGTTTATACATTTCATTGAATTATACCTGTTTGATGTACATTAGTCTTTTTCAAAAAAAAGAAAAGGGGGAACACGCGAGGCAACGCGAACAGGTCGCGTAAAGTGTTGTTTTGTACCTGAGTTTCAAAATAATCGTTTGCTGGTATTTGATTCAAAAGAGAGAAGGTAGGTGTCGCCCACGTATAAATTATATCTGACCAATCACCACAGCATAAAAATATCCATAACAAAATACACTTTATTTGCTTTGACAACGTTCAAATAGTCGTTGCAGTCTACAGAAGACGTGAAGGCTTAATCCTTTTGACTGTAATTATGCTTAAAGGGTCGTTGTTATCAGTTAGAGTTACATATTAATTTGATAAGAGAGAATGTCAGAAAAGGTGTGGGTAGGATAGAGTCCCTTTTCACAGATTTAGGTTTGCGAGCGTCAACTAATAAGCTTGTTGGTAGTGATAACGACAACAGAAGTATAATGAGGTGTATCACCAAAAGCATAAGCAATGTAAATCTTCCTAAAGTATCTTTTCTTGTACTGGAAGGAATTTCTCAAAGTAGATATCATTACTTAATTAATTATAAAACGTTATTAATCCAATGCGAACACAGAGCGTCGCTTGGTGATGTGACCAGGCAAGTTATCGATGATTTCCACCATGATAGTTGTGTGTTAAAAGGAACCCTTTTATCTATTCCCTAAGCAGTTTTTAGGACTCTTGGCCACAAAGTGACTACCAAAACTTATTAAAAGAACAATTGAATAGCCCATAAGTAAAGCCAGAACAAGGCCAGGGACTTTTTATAACAGAAGAAAAAGAAAAAGAAACAGAGAGAGATTCATTTTATACTAAAAATAATGATGCTTAGTAACACGATACTTCTTTTGGACACCACTCTTCCTTTTACTCTAAAGGGCTCATATCATCTTTCTATGTCCTGATGATTCTTTCAAAGTGTTAAAATGAGTACTTTGACCCCTACTGTGACAAATTTACTAAACAAGATCAAGTCTTTAATCATCGTGTTTGTATTCAGTCTGATCAAGGCAAAAAACGTAGCACCCGATTTCATTGTTAAGTGACGTCAAATTCCAAAATAATAGCAATGTTGATGTGTCCCAATGGACACTGGCATTGTCCATTGATAAATTGCAAGCGCGACTTTAATGCAAAATCACCGACTGATCGAATCATGAAGAACGAACAAGCAACGTGCTGCTTAGTGCAATGTTACACGGCTTGACACTTTACCCTATAAACTGTTGTTTACATTATATTTTGTTTACCTATTGTTTAAATCTTTTGTCATTAAAGAAAGAAAAAAAAATACGTGGGCGTAGCTAATGAACCCTATAACAAGTGTTGATGTAAAGCTTAATTTTTTACGGTGAATCCATTTTATATCCCGAATCAACTTCAGATCTATTTTAACTTTTTTTTATACGCTTTTTCTTTTTTTCTTCTTTCTTTATAACAAAGATGAAATTTGGTTCACAGCTTAAGGACGCCATTTATCCAGAATGGACAGAATATTATGTTGATTATGATGGATTAAAGAAAAGGTTAAGAAAGGCAGAAAAGGATAAACCGTTCACTGAAAAGGATGAAACGGAATTCGTTGAACTACTAGACAGTAACCTCGAAAAAGTAAAGAATGTTGTGTAAAAATGACATATAAAACATGTATTAATAAAGAGAAAAGGTTTATGCTTTCCATCAAGAGAAAATGGAAGAAATCAGAAAGAGAATTGATGAATGGGATGAAAAGATCAATACACAGATACCAAGCGAAGACAATATCAGTGAAATGACGCATATACAAGAAAACATCAATTGGATCGCAGATGACATCAATCGTCTTTCACGCTTTTCCAGATTAAACTACACTGGCTTTTTAAAAATAGTTAAAAAACATGACCGTCATACAGACTATGTTCTTCGTCCTATGTTTATGGTCAGATTAAACCAATGTCCTTTCTGGAACGAAGATAATGATTCACTCTTAATCAAGCTATCTCAATTATTTTCGAAAGTTAGACAAGGAGGTATGACTATGTCCTTCAAACCTTCAAGCTTTTCTCCATTTGAACTAGAAGAACAGTCTGAAAACAACCGTCGTTTAATCGTCAAGCGTTACTTTGTTCAAACCGAAAACGTATTGGAGCTAAAGACATATGTACTTCGTCATCTGCCTGTCTTGGTTTATCGTGACAACTTTAGAAATCAAGATGATATTGATCCACCCATCTCTTCAGTTTATTTAGACGATGCTGAACTGGATTCTTATAATTCACGCGTTGAAGGTGCCGAAGGATCTCAGATCATTCGTCTTCGATGGTACGGAAGCGCCAAAGGAAACAGCTCTATTGCATTCGAACGTAGAACACTCAGCGAAGAAAGCCGTGGAGAACTCAAAGATCGCTTCACGATCAAAGATAAATACGTCACTGGGTTCATTCATGGTGATCAGACCTTTTTAGAAAAGTCTGTGCGCAAGATGAAGAACAGTGGCAAATCCCAGGAAGAGATTGAAAAATATGAAAGGCTCGTACGCGAAGTTCAAGAAAATATCATGGCTAAGAAGATGCAGCCCGTCTTGCGTACATACTATCGTCGAACCGCTTTCCAAATCCCTGGTGACCGAAGTGTCAGAATGGCCCTTGATACCGATCTCTGTTTTATCAGAGAAGATTCTCTATTATTCCCTGACGATCCTGTCGTTCGTCGTCCAGATGGTACATGGCGCCGGCCCGACGTTGATATTGATTTCCCATTTGCTAATCTCAAGAACGAACAGGAGATCAACCGATATCCATTTGCTACTTTTGAAATTAAACTTGAATTGGCTCCCAATGAAAAGGAGCCTGAGTGGATTGTTGATCTAGAAGAAAATGGTATCCTAGAAGAGGCCAATGACTTTTCCAAATTCGTTCACGGTGTCGCTGTCATGTTTGATACACGTGTTCCTCTCTTGCCTTATTGGCTTGCTCAAATGGATGACAACTTGGAAAAGCTGCCTATCTTGCCTTCATCCACACCTTCTGTTAGACCTCATAAGTCCAAAGGAAAGCCATCTCAGGAGTTCGAATCACTCGAATCACCTTCAACATCATCTTCCGCCGCTGTTGTTTCTAATGAGAGATCATCTTTATTAGGTGACAGCAAACAATCTCCTACGTCCTACATGGGTATCAACCATCCAGCCCTTTCTCCTGTTCCTGAGGACGAAAGTGAACGTCAGGATCACGTTGCCTCAAGGATGCTCGATAAATTCGTAGCCTCGTTCAACAGGTTCTTGAATAATCATAGTCAACCTCAACAGAAACAGGATCAACCTCCTGTTATCCTACCTCCTGGTGTCAAGATCCCCAAAAAGGTCATCACTCCGTTACGCGTAGAACCCAAGGTATTTTTTGCGAATGAACGTACTTACTTTGCATGGATGTCCTTTGGAACACTGCTATCTACATTTTCACTAGCTTTGTTCAATGCAGGTGATGCTGTAGGCAAATTAAGTGGCCTTGTCTACACTCTTGTATCTATATCCACCTTGATCTACGGTATGGGTTTATATTACCGTCGCCGTGAACTGATCCGTAATCGTTCTGCTGGTCCTTACGATGAATTGATGGGCCCTACCCTGATTTGTTTTGCTCTTATGTTTGCTGTTGGCTTAAATGCTTATCTCAAGTTTGCAGTCAAATCACCATCATTATTTTACCTTTAACATCCTTGTTTAAAATTTCATCGTTACCTTCTTATCATTATTTACTGCTACAAAAATAAATGTATCATTTTACGTTTAAACAGATTTTTATTTATAAATTATTAAAGCCTCTACTGAGCACACGGTTGTATATCACATCTTTCCCGCCCGAGGCAGTTCATAAAGGAAGGATAGCAGTGACTAAAAAAACTCCTTGGGATCAAGGGTAAAAATGCTTTAGAAGGAGTGAATAGGGCCAAGTGTAAGATACACGAGAGAAAAGGAGAAGAGGGAAGCCATTCCAAGAGCCTTTGCCCGAGGTGAGTGGGCGGGGTAGGCGGAAACTTAGTGTGTTGTAGATAATCGAGTTCACATAGGATTCTGCATATAGTTGGCCAGCGGACGATCCATAAGAGTGTTGTATTAGGAGAGCGAGGTTTCTTGGTAGGTAGCATATTTAAAAGGAAGGATAATGAATCAGAAATGGTTTGGGGCATCATGAGCCTACGGTGTATCTGGAGACAGTGAATGGTATGACTTTTATGAAGGGTTGGCTAAGGTACCGAGGGCAAGGATGTATCCTTCTACACTTTATTCAGAAATTATTCGCGCACAATTTAAAACCAATAGCAATTACACTTTAGTTAATTATCAATCCTTTCTTTGTTATTAAAAAGACAGTGAATTCTGTCCTTT